GGGGGCTGAATGCTGAGGTCAGTGGTCTTGAGGTCCCCCTGCATGGAGGGGAGGCTCACGTCGGCCTCCACCTTCGGCACAGACACGTCCACCGATGCCTCGATGGACTTGCCTGGGGCCGACACCCCGAAAGACGGCATCTTGAACTTGGGCATTTTGAACATGCTGTCTTTGGCGGTCACATCCTTGTGGGCTATGGACAGGTCCCCCTCCAGCCCCACGCCGTCCAGTTTGGCTGCCGGGGCCTGGACGTCAACCTCCACGCTGGGCAGAGACACCTCCATGTCGGGGGCCGTCTCCTCCACCTTCGGCGCAGACACGTCCACCGAGGCCTCAATGGACTTGCCTGGGGCCGACACCCCAAAGGATGGCATCTTGAACTTGGGCATTTTGAATTTGCTGTCTTTTGCGGTCACGTCCTTGTCGGCCAGGGACAGTTCCCCCTCCAGCTGGGCATCATCCAGCTTGGCTCCTGGGGCCTGGATGTCCACCTCCACGCTGGGCAGAGACACCTCCACGTCAGGAGCCATCACCTCCGCCTTGGGGCCTTTCAGGTCCAGCGTGGGGCCCTTGATATCCACCTGGGGGCCTTTGAGGTCCACTTTGGGCATCTTCAAACTGGGTATCTGCACCTTGGGCAGGTGCCCTTTGAGGCCAGCTTCCTCGGGCAGGTGGCCCTCCGGGAGCATAACGTCTACTTGGCCAGCCTGGACCTCCAGGTCGGCGGGTGGTGGCTGAATGCTGAGGTCCGTGGTCTTGAGATCCCCCTGCATGGAGGGGAGGCTCACGTCGGCCTCCACCTTCGGCGCAGACACGTCCACCGAGGCCTCCATGGACTTGCCTGGGGCGGACACCCCGAAGGATGGCATCTTGAACTTGGGCATTTTGAATTTGCTGTCTTTGGCGGTCATGTCCTTGTCGGCTAGGGACAGGTCCCCCTCCAGCCGCATGCCATCCAGCTTGACTTCTGGGGTCTGGGGGTCCACCTCCAAGCTGGGCAGAGACACCTCCACGTCGGTGGCTGTCACCTCCGCTTTGGAGCCTTTCAGGTCCAGCTTGGGGCCCTTGATATCCACCTGGGGGCCTTGGAGGTCTACTTTGGGCATCTTCAAACTTGGCATCTCCACATTGGGCAGGTGCCCTTTGAGGCCAGCTCCCTCGGGCACGTGGCCCTCCGGGAGCTTCATATCCACCTGGACAGCCTGGACCTCCAGGTCAGCAGAAGGGGGCTGAATGCTGAGGTCAGTGGTCTTGAGGTCCCCCTGCATGGAGGGGAGGCTCACGTCGGCCTCCACCTTCGGCACGGACACGTCCACCGAGGCCTCCATGGACTTGCCTGGGGCCGACATCCCGAAGGACGGCATCTTGAACTTGGGCATTTTGAACTTGCTGTCTTTGGTGGCCACATCCTTTTCTTTCAGAATTTGTTCCTTTTTCAAGGGTTTTTGGTCATGTGTTAATTGTAATTTTGTTTCGTTTGTCATTGAGTCTCTATCTTCCTTATCTTTTAGTCCTGCCTCAGTGCCTCCCTGTTCTCTTCTGTTGGCCGTTGCTATGACCTCTCCTGCCCTTTCCTGCTCTGTGTCTTGTGTGGCTTTTTCTCTCCCTGTCTTTGCCTGCTTGCTTGGCGACCATCCTAAGGATGGTATCTTGAACTTGGGCATTCTCATCTGTCCTTCTCTGTCTTCCCCGACCTTGTCCTGTTCCTGGGTGATCCTTGTCCTCTGTAGTCCTTCTCCATCTCCTTCACCCTCTTGTGCTTCTGCGTATGTGGCTGGTTCCCTGCCTGGTTCCCACCCTGCTCCTTCCACCTCCTCAACATTCAGGCCAGTACCCACTTTTGAGGACAAGTCCTGTCTCTTCCCTCGCTGTGAGGCACTAATGCGCCTTTCTCTTTCTGGCTCTTTTTCGGTGGAAAATGCAAATTTTGGTGTCTTTAAATCGTGTACTCGCACCCTAATTTTGGGTGGGCCGATCTGTGTGCCTCCTTCGGTTGTGTCTCTCAAGGACAGTCTGGCGATCCCAATTTCCAGGCTCTGCAGTCCCTCACCTTCACCCTCCCAGCTCATTCCAGGAGTTGGCTGGGCCCTGGGCTTCCTCTGGGCCACTGCTGTCTCCTGTGCCTGCCCCTCCAGGGTCTTTCTGTGGAACCTGGCTGCCCTGAGTCCCCCTTCCTCAGGGGTTCCCTCACAAGCTCTAGGGTCACCCAGCTCTGTGGGCAACTGTGTCACTTCTCGATCCTGTTCTGCCCTCTCCTCTCTCCTGCTGCCTGTGGCAGCCCCAGTGTCCTCAAGGCTATCACCCCAGGGCCCCAACTCTTCCAGGACCCCAGCACGACCCACCCCTCTCTGGGACCCCCTGCCTGGCTCTCCTGTTGATGAAGGGCCCTGTCCCGAGCCTGTCCTGAATCTCAGGTTGAGGAACTTCCGCCTCCTCTGGCTGCCCGGCCCTGCCTTCTGCTCTTGGCGCTCCACTGCGAGCTGGGCCTCTGTGTCTGTGCTTGTAGGGGACACGTCATGTGCGTCCCTGGGCTCGCAGGCCTCTGACGAGCTGTGTGACCTCTGGGGTCCTGGCCCCCGCTTGCTCTTTATGGATTGAAATTTTGGCCAAGAGAGCCTCTCCCTCTGGGTCTGCCTGCCTCTCCCCACCCTGGGTTTGGAGATGAGTCTCTCTTGGTCCCCATCTCCTTCCAGAGTTTTCGTGGGGGTGTCTCTGCATCCATCAGCGACATCCGTGTCCTGAAACATAGGGAGAGGGAATCTGTTGGTACCAGTCCAAGAAGCCTGAGACCCTGGCCCAGGGACAGATGGATTGGGAGTGCTATCCCCTCCCAGGCTCAGCCAGCAGGGTAGTGAAGCCAGCTGGGGCCCTGCCCCACAGTCTTGGTGGTCTCACCTCCTTCTCCTTGCCCTGTGGGCCATGCTGGTCATCGCTGGAGGCCCACCCTTCATCCTGTGGAGCAGGGAGTTGCCGTCTGATTTTGAACTGAACCCTGTACGGCTCTGAGTACTGAAGGATTTTGAGAGCATCTTCATATTTTATGTTGTCAAAGAACACGGTTGCACTGAGCAGCTGATCCCCTAGACCAAGAAAGAGCAGCCCCAGGGCCGGGTGTGTGAATGAGATGGGGTCTGCTGTCTTGCCTTGGCTGGCGAGGAGGGCCCCAGGAGCATGAATAGGGGGGATCCCACTGAGTCTGCCCCACCAGTCCCCCACCGAGTGTCTCAGGCACAGGGAAGGTGGATGGGGTCCCCCATTTTACTAGATGCAGTGGGTGATCCCAGCCTCAAGCAGCTGAGCAGAGACGTGAGGAGGTCGTCCTAGGCTCCAGGTGTGGCTCCTATCCCCCTCAATGCCCCCCTCCAGGTCCCTCCCATTCTGGTGGGGAGAATGGGGACCCCAGGGATGGAACTGCCATGGCACCTTCTCTCAAGTTGAAAAGCTTGGCAGCTGAGGAGTCCTTCAGCACTTGCTTGACAAAGATCCCCTTGTCCCCACCGCCTGTGACACTGTAGCCACTGGCTCCCGCCTCCACCTCTGTCTTCAGCGTCACCTCTGTTGCCTCCTGCATGGACTGGAGCAGAAGCACATCAGGGCCATGGTGAGCATGTGCCAGTCCCACCGTAAGCATCCCTGCTGGGGCCTGAGTCTCCAGAGGATGGGCACCCCACCATCCTTCCCATCAGCCCGGACAACACAGAGCAGTGTGGGGCACCCACCGGGTGGGCTCAGCTAGCTGTGTCTGAGCTCTGGAGGAAGCCAGCTGGAAGCTTCCAGAACTCTTGTCCCCACCCCAACCTGCCAGGACTTAGGCACAGCCTGTCCATGCCATCAGGCCCAGCAGGGCACCAGGAACAGGGCAGAACGACTTCTGCTTTCCCTGTGGCCAGAGGTTCCCTTTTCAGCTCCTTTGTGCATTCTTCACAAACACGTGAAGTATGAATTGTGTGCAAGGCACCTGATGCTCAAGACAAGGAAGAACAGCAATGCCAAGGAAAATACGGGACATTGGGTGCCGCCTGCCAGACCTGGGACAGGATGGGGCCTGTGTCCTGTAGAGCTCTTGGACTGCTGGGGCGTCCAGGGAAAAAAAAAAAAAAAAGAACAGTTGCTTTAGAGGCAGAGTCCCCTCATCACCGGGTGCTAGCAGAGTCTAGCACCTTCCATAGTTACATGGCCTGGGTGCTGACTGGCCCTTTCAGCCCCGTGACTTGAATATGCAACAGACACCAGCACTGCCCCATTGTACAGAGGAGGAAATTGAGGTCTGCACAGCCAGGTCTACCTGGCTGGGAGCTTGGCTATGCATCAAACTCTACACCAGGGAGGAGTGGGGAGGGTCAGAACCAGATTTAGCCTTCTGGAGCCCCTGCGTTTCCCCAGGCCCGACAAGGGGGACAAGAAGACCCCTCCCCCCCAGGGCACCAGGCACACTGCCAGCCTCTTTGCTCCTCCCCCGCCTGCTCTGACCTCAAACTCTCTGGCTGGATCCTTTGTGGACGGACACACCTCTGTGACCCTCAGCTCCTTCTGTACCCACCTCTGGACGACTCATCCTGAAAAATGTCCGTGAGTCCCCTGAATCCCACTTCCACCAGGATCTCCGTCTCCCAGCCGAACCTTGCCTGCCGGGAGCGTCTTCCTGCAGCCACAAGTGTTGCGAGTTAGGCACCTGCCCCAGCTCAGGGACAGGGAGGGGCACAGGTAGGCTGGTGCCAGACCAGGAGCCCTCCCTTCAGAGGGGCCCAGAACCTCCAACATGCAGCTGTGTGCAGAGGGAGCCGGGTCCCTCCAGGCACATCCACAGAGAAAAAGCAACTCTCGGCCTTCCTGCTTCCTGACAGGGCCCAGCCTACAGCCCACAGCGCCCACAGGGAAGCCCCACAGCAACTAGAGTTTCATACGGAGGGAGATAAGAAATTTAAATTGTACAAAAAGGAATCCTTTCATAGACATGGCTCCTCTGATCCCTTCCCTAAGTCCTTGTCTCCAGAGGTAGCCATGGGGCCTTGTCCCCAAAGACAGCATGAGTGTGTTACACAGGTTCAGGTATGCACACAACCTGTGCCCCTGAAACACACACACAGTAACACGAGGCCTGTCCCCATCAGCCCACACGCATGCTCACAAGAGCTGCAGGCACCTCCATCCCACTGTGCCCTGGCCAGCCGCAGGGAGGAACCCAAGGGCACAGAGGAGTCTGAGAGGACATCTGAGTGAGCACTGCCCAGTGGGCAGCGAGGCAGGGCGGCAGGGCTGCACAGACATGAGTGAGTTGCCCACACAGGGCGATGCAGGGGGAGAGCTGGGTGCCTGTGGGGCTCTGCCCAGCAGGCTCACCTGGAGTCCAAAGTCAGCAGCCTCAGTCGTGTATTCGTAGACAGGTGAGGACCCCTGTGGCCGTGGTCGAATGACCTCATCTGCAGGCCCTTCAGTCACCTGACAGGAGAGAATCCAGTTACTTTTGCCACTCAGTTCTCCCAGGGCCCAGGGAGAATGGGGGCAGGGTATGAGGAGGACACACTTCCTCCTGCTCTCACTTACAGAGTGGTCATCTTCAGTTTCTGCATCTGGCTCCCTGGGCTGCAGCTGTCGGCCAGACACTGCAGAGAGAGTGGCTGTCAGTGGAGATAAGCAGGCTGGGGGAGCAGATCGGGGCCCGGGGGAGGGAGCCAGGAGCGTATGTACACTGTGGAGGTGGCATAGTCCTGTCCTGGACACTGGATCTGAGAGCAAATTCAGGGGCCAGGGGAGGATCCACAGCTATTGGGCTGGAGAGGCTGTGGCATCAAGTCAGGTAGCACTGAATTGAGACTGGACTTATTCCAAGTTGGAACAGATTTAGTCCAAGAAAGTTACTAAACAAACACAAGGTGTTAGTTATTGTATAACCACACCCTGGGAGGATCAGAATCCAGAGTTGCTGGAATGTATTATCTAAAATGTCCAGCAGCCAGCAAAAAATTACAAGTTACGCAAAGAAACAAGAATGTATGATCCATACTGAGAAAAAGCAGTGAATGGAAAGTATCTCTAAATGTCCATCAGTGTTGGGTTTAATACAGACTTCAAAGAAACTATTAAAAGTTTGTTCAGGCTGGGCGCGGTGGCTCACACCTGTAATCCCAAAACTTTGGGAGGCCGAGGAAGGTATATCACCTGAGGTCGGAGTTCAAGACCAGCCTGACCAACATGGAGAAACCCCATCTCCACTAAAAATACAAAATTAGCCGGGCATGGTGGCACATGCCTGTAATCCCAGCTACTCAGGAGGTTGAGGGAGGAGAATCACTTGAACCTGGGAGGTGGAGGTTGCGGTGAGCCGAGATTGCACCATTGTACTCTAGCCTAGGCAACAAGAGTGAAACTCCATCTCAAAAAGAAAAAAAAAAGAGTTTGTTCAAAACACACACAAAAAAACCATGTTTAAAAAATTAATGGAAAATATGTTAACAATAATGAAGAAAGAATCTCATAAAGAAATAAAACTTATTTTTTAAAAGGCAAGCAAAAATTCTGGAGTTGAAAATTTACTACTGGGGTTCACCAATAGATCTGAGATACCAGAAGAATCATCAACTTGTAGATTAATATAAATTAACCAATTTGAAGAACGGGGGTCAGGAAGAAGGCTGATTGAAGAAAAACAGAGCCTCAGAGCATTAACCATAAGATAAAGAGACAGAAGAGAGAGTTGAAGAAGTGATGGCTGAAAACAATCTGCAGAATCCAAGAAGCTCGACAAAACCTAAGCAGGAGAAACACAGAGATCCACACCTGGACGCATCATAGTCAAAATGCTCAAGAGAAAGGGACCTATCACATAATAAGGGCATAAAAATACAACTAACATCTGAATCACATCAAAACCGTAGAGGCCACAAGAAAGTGGAGCAGTATATTCAAAGGGCTGAAAGAAAATGTTGTCAACAAAGAATTTGATATTAAGCAACCTATCCTTCAAAAATAAAGGCAAAATAGTCTGGGCATGATGGCTTATGCCTGTAATCCCAGCACTTTGGGAGGCTGAGGTGGGACGATAGCTCGAGCCCAGAAATTCAAGGCCAGCCTGAGCAATATAGTAAGATCTCATCTCTACAATTTTTTTTTTTTTTTTTGAGATGGAGTCTCACTCTGTCACCCAGGATGAAGTGTAGTAGCACGATCTTGACTCACTGCAACCTCTGCCTTCCGGGTTCAAGTAATTCTTCTGCCTCAGCCTCCCGAGTAGCTGGGACTACAGGCACGCGCTACCATGCCCCGCTAATTTTTGTATTTTTAGTAGAAATGGGGTTTCACCATGGTGGCCAGGCTGGTCTCAAACTCTTGACCTCATGATCCACCTGCCTCAGCCTCCCAAAGTGCTGGGATTACAGGTGTGAGCTACCGCGTCCGGCCCAAAATTTTTTTTAAAAATTAGCGGGTCATGGTGGTGCATGCCTATAGTCCCAGCTGCTCAGGAGGCTGAGGCAGGAGGATAGCTTAAGCCTGAAAGGTTGAGGCTGCAGTGAGCTGTGATTGCACCACCTCACTCCAGTCAGGCAGAGCAAGACTCTGTCTCAAAAAAATAAAAATTTAAATTTTAAAAAAGGCAAAATAAAGGCATTCCCAAATGAACAAAGACTTGGAAACCTCATTGCTAGCAAATCTGCCTTACAAGATATACTAAAGAAGCCCTTCGGACTGAAAGGAACTAATACCAGACAGTAAGTCAAATGCACGGGAAGAAATGAAGAATGCAAAAAGTGGTAAATATGTAGGCAAATATAAAAGACTCTGAATATATATTGTCCTCATTTTATTTCTTAACTTCTTTCAAAAACAGAGGATTGTATAAAGCAAGGATTGACAAACTTTTCTTGAAAAAGGCAATATAGTAAATATTTTAAGCTTAACAGGCCACATGATCTCTGTTGTATCTCTGCAGCTATAATATAGAAGCAGCTATAGAGTATAGATAATATGTAAATAAATGAGCATAACTGTTTCAACAAAACTTTACTTGTAAAACAAAAAGGAGGCTGGATTTAGAAGACAGGCAATAGTCTGTGAAGCACTTATATAAGGCAACAATTCGAACACCATATTGTTAGGATTATAACATATATAGATGTAGTATATATGTGACAATAATAGCAAAAAGGAGTGGGAGGAGAGGGTATACAGTTAGCCTTTCATATCAGTGGTTTCTGTGTCCTGAGTTCAATGAAACTTGGGTCAAAAATGTCCTTCCAAAAATTGCATCTATACTGAACATGTACAGACTTTTTTTCTTGTCATTATTCCCTAACCAATAGAGTATACCAGCTATTTACATAGCATTTACATTACATTAGGTATTACAAGTAATCTAGAGACGATTTAAAGTATTGGAGAGGGAAGATGTATGTAGGTTATTTGCAAATACTACATCGCTTTATAGAAGGACTTGAGCATCCTTGAATTTTGGTATCCGAGGGAGTTCCTAGAAGCAATCCCCCATGGATGCTGAGGGACAAGTGTACCTTGGACCAAAGTTTCTATAATTTACCAGAATTAAACTGGCACTGCCTGGGGCTGGGAGTGGGAAGGGAGATTGATTGTAAGTGGGGTTGAGAAAATTTGGAAGGTGATGGAGGTGTTTCAGAACTGGATTGTGGTGATGTTTGCACAACTCTGTAAGGTTAGTAAAATGAATTATACATTTACAATGGGTGGGTTCTATGGTTTCTAAACTATACGTCAATGAAACTGTAAAAGAAAAAGGTAATTAACTGTATAAAACAAAAATAAATCAGCACGGTGGCTCACACCAGTAATCCCAGCACTTTGGGAGGCCTAGGAGAGTAGATCACTTGAGGCCAGGAGTTCGAGACCAGCCTGGTCAACATGGTGAAACACTGTCTCTACTAAAAATGCAAAAATTAGCTGGGCATAGTGGTGCACGTCTGTAATCCCAGCTATTCAAGAAGCAGAGGCAGGAGAATCACTTGAACCGAGGAGGCAGAGGTTGCAGTGAACTGAGATCCTTCCACTGCACTCCAGCCTCAGCAACAGACCAAGACTCTGTCTCCAAAAAAATAATAACAAATAAAATAAAATGTATCTTAGAATTTCACAAATATAGAAGTAAAGCATATGACGGGATGGGGATGGAGTGCAGAAGTTGCTGTTGTGAAGATCTTACATTATACTTGAAGTAGGACAATCTTACTTGAAACTATACTGTAATAAGTTAAATATTCAGAGTATAAACCATAATGCAACCATTAAAAAAAAAAGATGTATAGGTAATAAACCAATAGTGGAACTAAGATGGAATAGTAGGCTGGGCACAGTGGCTTGTGCCATAATCCCAGCACTTTAAGAGACCGAGGAAGGAGGATCGCTTGAGGCCAGGAGTTTGAGACTAGCCTGGGCAACACAGTGAGACCTTATCTCTAGAAAATATTAAAAAGTTAGCCACGCATGGTGGTGCACATCTGTAGTCCCAGCTACTCAGGAGGTTGAGGTAGAAGGATCACTTGAGCCCAGGAGGTTGAGGCTACAGTCAGCCGAGATCGTGCCACTGCCCTCCAGCCGGGGTGACAGAGCAAGACCCTATCTCAAAAAACAAATAAAAAAACACCTAGATCTCCTTTTTAAAACACTGAAGTAAAAACCGGCAAAACTGAAAGGAGAAATAAATCCATAATTATTATACAATAGGATATTTTAACACTCTTAGGAAATGATAACCTTACAAAGTAGAATAGGGGAAGATACAAAACACTTGAAGTACCCATCAACCAACGAGATCAAACTGGCACTAGGAGAACACTCCAGACAGCAGCCGGAGCATGCTGCTCTCAGGTGCACAGGGGACAGTCACTGAGACAGTCCCCATGCTGGCTCAGAAACCTGCCCTAACAAATTTAAAATCACTTCAGTCATCCTAGATCTCTTGTCTGACCCCCAATGGAATCAAGACAGTGTGGCAGAAACACAAATCAGTGAACAGAAAACAAAGTCCAGAACAGCCCCACACTTACATGGCCAATTAATTCTTGTTTGTTTGTTTGTTTTGTTTTGAGACAGGATCTCACTCTGTCACTCAGGCTGGAATGCAGTGGCACAATCTCTGCTCACTACAACTTTTGCTTCCTGGGTTCAAGCGTTTCTCGTGCCTCATCCTCCCAAGTAGCTGGGATTACAGGCATGCACCATCATGCCTCGCTAATTTTTTTTTTTTTTGGTACTTTTAGTAAAGATGGGGTTTCACCATGTTGCCCAGGCTGGTCTTGAACTCCTGGCCTCAAGTGATCCACCTGCCTTGGCCTCCCAAAGTACAGGTGTGAACCTGTGTGAGAACACTCCTGACAGCAACCTGTGCATGCCCGGCCAAATTCTTGTCAAAGCAGCCCAGTTATTCCAATAGAAAACAAAGTCTTTTCACCAAATGGTCCTGGAACAGCTGGGTATTTACTGGGAAACCAATAAACCTGGACCCTTCCATCCCATCACTCATGAAAATGAATTCAAAATGAATCATAGAAGTAAACTGAAAACTGTAAAACTTCTAGAAGAAAATATAGGAGAAATTATTTACCACCTTGAAGGCAGCAATGTTTTCTTAGGATACAGA